GGTGGGACATCAAAGGAGTAATCCATTTCGAACTCCTCAATCCACAGCGAACTGTCAATGCAGAGATCTATAGTCGGCAACTGGAACGTTTAAGTCAAGTCCTTCATTAAAAACGCCCTTCACTCGTCAATCGGAAAAGTATTCTTCTCCACGACAATGCACGTTCACTTGTGGCATGTTTGACGCAACACAAGATTATGGAGTTAGGTTGGGAAATTCTCCCCACACACCATATTCTCCAATATGGCACCATAAGATTACCATCTTTTTCGTTCGCTGCAACACCATCTTAATGGGAAGATTTATGCAAATGTGGAAGGTGCTAAAGAGAACATCGACATGTTTTTTGCTTCAAAGCCAAATGATTTCTTTAATCAGGGCATTAACAACCTGAGTGTAAGATGAAAAAGCATCATCCATAGGAATTGAGACTATTTCAGTTAACGAATGTTTTGTTTTGATATATAAGTTGTTCGTTTTTTTTCATCTAAAAAAGGCGACATTAATTTCTTGACGATCTAATATGTGTGTATGAAACCTGTTAAAATGTTTTTTTTTTCACTTATAGTGTGCAAATGTTAACTAGATGTTCCAGTTTTTTGCTGGATGAAACATACTGTTATTTAGTGATTTTTGACTGGAGTCTTCTATAATTTATATATATATGACACAGATTTGTCATATATATATATATATATATATATATATAAAACGCAATAGTTTACTGGAAATATTCTACTCTTATCTGCTCAGTATTTCCTTATTTAACAAAAATAAACAAAGCTCGACTTATTTAAGTCTATAAAAATTATAAATGAAAGCAAAGAACGACATATTATAATATTTCAACCACTTTACATCTACTATATCCAACACCGACAAGGCTTACTGCCAAACACCAAGACTCATTACAATGGCTTGTATGTGATTGACATACAGTGGTCTAGGCGCTTTTTATAACAGCTGTTTCCATAAACAATGACTGTTATGGTGTGAACTAGACTAAGTAAGTGAATTGTAATTATTAATAATTTTATTTAAGATAAGTATTAATAAATAGCATAATATTATTTACTTGTTTTATTTGATTTATAACACCTATTATTTATCATATTATTTGTATTAATGATGAACAGTAGAACGACGGGAGCAAAAACGAACATTTGACACGTGTGTGTACAGTAACAAACATTTAATTATTGAACGTTTCGGAATATACACATTTCATCTTCGGCAAGCTATATTGAACATGATAAATTATTAGGTATAAATTTATAAAGTTTAGATATGTCATAAAAATTAATTAAAATACAGAATAAAAGGTTGAAGTAAATTATAAGACAAACAAATAAACAATAGGATAATGTAACAACTGTAACAATATTATACAAGTGTTCAGAACAGACTTAACTCTAGTGAAGTTGGGTTATTATTTCAAGTTGGGAGTTCATTTATAATAGATAAACTTTCTTTAATTAAATTGAAGTTCAAACATTTTATAAAGAATAATTAAAGTACAGAATAAAAGGATGAACTAAATTTAAATCTACACAAATAAAGAATAGGATAATGCAACAATATTATACAAGTGTTCAGAACAGACTTAGCTCTAGTGAAGCTGTGTTATTATTTAAAGTTGGAAGTTCATTTATAATAAATAAATTTTCTTTAATTAAAAGTTCAATATTAGATGAGATGACTTTGAAATTCATAATCAAGATGGGGTGTTTGTTGTTTTCACTATGTGTGTTAATTGTGTATTCTGATGGATCTGAACTTTTCCCCAACACAAATGTAACGTACACACGCTTTAATCGCCAACAGTTCCAAGAATTACTTAACCTTGCCCTCAAGTATAATAACTTTGTCTTCAACGGTCAGCTATATGACCAAATAAATGTTGGCGTGGCAATGGGGTCACCTTTAGGGCCGTCTCTCGTTAACATATTCTTTTGTTACTATGAGTGTTTTTGGTTAGACACCTGTCCCGCTGAATACAAACCGGCTCTATATATATACAAGGTATTTTGATGATACAATTTTACTCTTTCAAAGCTCTTAATCACATCAAACAATTCTTGGATTATTTACATTCGAAGCATCCTAACATTAATTTTATTTGTGAAACTGGAAAAATAATCGGTAAATTGCCTTTTCTTTATATCCAAATCAGCAGATTATATAACCATTTCACAACATCTGTTCATCGTAAAAAATATACAGTCTTACATACTTGATTCGACAGTTTTATTTTGGAATCCTTTAACGTAACCTTATACTCAATAGAGCATATAACCTGTGTTCTAACTATCTCTCTTTTCATACCGAAATCACCACCTTACAGAACATTCTAATAAACAACGGCTATCCCTTGCATTTTATTCAAGCCCTAACACTGAAGTTCCTTTCTCACAAATTTGAAACCATACACTGTTAACAAATACCCGTTAAGATTCATCATTCCCTTTCTAGGTAAACAAAGTTTCATAATGAAGTCAGAAATGTTAAGAATTATTAAAACGTTTTATCCCCAAGTTCAACTACAAATGATATTTAACTCACCTTTCAAAATACAAAATGTATTCAGATCTAAAGACCTATTACCTACCTCTAAAAGTTCAAGGATAATACATAAATACACATGTGGTGGCTGTAATGCCACTTACATTGGCTAAACTATATGCCAATTACACCTGCGAGTCTGCGAACATATGAGAGTATCAAGCAGAACTGGTAAAAAACAACTATCAAATCCATCAAAGTCAACTATTCGCACACATAGCGAAAACAACAACCACCCCATCTTGATTACGAATTTCAAAGTCATATCATCTGGATCATCCACCATTGAACTTTTAATTAAAGAAAGTTTATTTATCATAAATGAACTCCCAACTTTAAATAACAACACAACTTCACTAGAGTTAAGTCTGTTCTGAACACTTGTATAATATTGTTACAATTGTTGCATTATCCTATTCTTTATTTGTGTATATTTAAATTTAGTTCATCCTTTTATTCTGTACTTTAATTATTCTTTATAAAATGTTTGAACTTCATAAATTTTTGTTCCTAACATTTTACCCAGTTCAATATAGCTTGCTGAAGATGGAATATGTATATTCCGAAACGTTCAATAATTAAATGTTTGTTACTGTACACACACGTATCAAATGTTCGTTGTTGCTCACGTCGTTTCGTTATTTATCATTAAACTTCGATCCCGTCGAATGAATCTGTTGCTAGTCTATTTGTATTAATTCAGATATCAGTCACAAGAAATGGGGAACTAGCAAGCTAGTATTTTTGTTTCCGGAGTGGGTCAGTGATACATAAAGGTCAAAATGGCAACACTTATTCAAAAAGAATAGTCAACGACTATTTATAACGATATGCTATCGTGTACAACATATTACTGATATTTAAAAACAGATGTAAGGAACTTATACCACATGTTTTTTCACACACCAAACTAAGAAAGTATAGTGGTTTTACACACCAATCTGAGACAGCACAGTGATTTTACACACCAAACTGAGACGCTAGTGATTTTACACACCAAACTGAGACGCTAATGATTTCACACACAAAACCGAAATACTAGAGTGATTTCACACCCCAAATTAAGACACTAGAAGGGTTAAACACAGCTGATTAGAATACTACGATGATTTTAAAGGAACTTATACCACATGTTTTTCACACACCAAACTGAGACGCTAATGATTTCACACACAAAACCGAAATACTAGAGTGATTTCACACCCCAAATTAAGACACTAGAAGGGTTAAACACAGCTGATTAGAATACTACGAGGATTTTAAAGGGAAAATGTTTGCATTTCTATCAAACCAGTGTTGTTGTTTTTTTCTTTTAAATAACTTTATGTGAGAATTGGGTTTATTCTGGGATACTTGTTATTGTGAGTATTGCTACATATGATAGTTTTCTTGTTATTGTTTCATCGATAAGATAATTTAGGTTAAATGAACGGAACTTTTTTTCTTATTTAGATATTCCAGTTTCTAAGTGTAACGAACTCTGTGAAATCGGATGAATTAGGTTAAATCTTGTGCTTGAATAATCAAGTTTCAAGTTACCTCACTTTGTTTCAAACAATCCCATTCATAACCAGCTTTAAAACATGATTTTTTTTGTATACATATCACTCTCTACTAATCATGCCAAAACTGAAACGGAATTCAGGCTGAACCTCAAACAAACTTGGCAGCATGAAAGATACCCTAGTTTTCTCGTTTGTTTCAGAACATTTGCACAAAACTACACAATGGGCTAGCTTCGCATAGCCGCCCCTAATTTTAAACTAATAGAGTAGATTACAGAAGGAATGCAACTAGATAAACAGCACCCACCGCCAACTCTTGGACTACTCATATTTGAAACAATAGTTGGATTTGACCGTCACATTTATAGCGCACCCACTGTCCCATGTAACGAATTTATTATTACATATATTTATTTTAATACCAACGTTTGTTTGGATTAAATTTATATTTAAAAACATACATGGCTTATACTGTTAAATATATATTGCGAAACTCCGTCTATTCTCCAAAGTTGTAAAAGATTCTCGAGAGTAAGAATCAACAATATGTGTACGTAAATGCTGCTGTTAGTGTCAGTATTTTTACGTAAAACTTAAATTTCTAGAAAACCTCCTCACGCCTATCAATATAACCAACGCGACTCGCCAAAAGTAGTATCTATTATTTGCTTGCTATAGTCAGTGTGCTATAAACTTCGGAAGCTATAACTGTGATTGTTATAACGCTTATCAATCAGAAAACTTCAGATATTTGTCCAGGAGCATTTACAAAGTTCGGACATTACAAATCATTTAACGTCAGTGGATTCTCATCGGACATTGGTATTTTTACGAAAACATTACAAAACGTCACGGTGAAAAACCTGGTGTATGTGGCTTATAAATAACGAAGGACAAAGCTAGCTAGCTTCACGTTAAGTGCATTAAACTTACGTCAACTTGTAATCAACTCGCTCATCGTGAACCCTCGATAAGATATTAAGGAAATTCCAAACTAGAAAGAAGACTTTATATTGTTTGTATGTTTGTGAAACTTTTGTT